GGCTCATCCTCTCCATGCCCTGGTTGCCCACACTGTGGGGGGGGCTGTGGTGGAGGTTGTAAAGGATATTAAATGTGATAAAGGTTATTTATTAAATATGATAAAGGTTATTAAATGTTATAAAAGGTTATTAAATGTTATAAAATTTATTAAATAAGGTTATTAAAAAGCCAACCAAGGTGCAGACCTGCACCAAGGTGACCCCCTAAGGTAGCGGGGGGCATTGACATCCCATTCCTGGTGGGATGGATCCCAGCATTGGTGCCCACCAGGGTTGAGGGGTTCGGTCCCCAAACCTGACTGAGGTGACGAGCTGGGGTGAGGGGACACACAGCTGGTGTGGGGGACACAGCTGGGGGGGACACACACAGCTTGGGGGGGGACACACGTGTCCCACAACACTCTAACCTGTTTTTTTTCCCTTTCTTTTACCACCAGGCCATGAACTTGGTAAGTTGAACGTGGGGTTGAGATGTCCTTCATCCCCCGTTCCCTTTTGTCCCCCCTGTGTGTCCCCAGGGGAGGGGGGGGTGACACACCTTCCAGACCCTCCAGCTCCTGCCTGGGGGATATTTGCAACCTTCAGACATTAATTAAAATGGGTTTATTTTGGGAGGGGGTGATGAGGGACATCCATGCTCAGGTCCCTTGGCCGGATTGTAGGACCAGCTCTGAGCTTTGCAAAACCTGCTGAGCACACTCAAAATTGGGGGGGTGGAGGGTGGCATGGTCTCATTTGACCCATGTAACCCCCATGTCTCTCCTGTGCCCCCTCCTCCAGGACCAGGTCTCGAAGGACAAGGCTCTGCAGAGCATGGCTTCCATGTCTTCCGCACAGATCGTGTCAGCCAGCGTCCTGCAGAACAAGCTCAGCCCCCCTCCTCCTCTTCCTCAGGCTGTCTTCTCTGCTGCCCCCAGGGTGAGGATAACCCCCTGCCCCCCATATGGGGACACCATGGTGGGAGGGGGACGTGATGGATCTCCATGCGTGAGCTGCACAGGGGGAGGTGGGGACGTTCACCGGCCTTTTGGCCATCATGGCAATGGGTGAAGGGCTTGGGGGGCTCCTCATGGTTTGGGGAGGTCAAGTCCAGGTGAGGGGGGCAGAATTTGGGTGTGGGGGGGGGGCAGAAGCCACTGACTCTTCCCTGTTCCCCCAGTTTTGGAGTGGGCCTATCCCAGGACAGCCTGGACCCTCTCAGGAGTAAGTATGAGACCCCTGTGCTGTGTTGAGCAGAACCCCCCCCTTGGTGAGGGCCTGGGGTCACCTGGGCTTCGTTAACCTAACGATGCTCTTTGCTTTCCAGCATTAAACCGTTTGCACAACCAGCTTACCCCATCCAGCCACCCATGCCTCCATCACTAGCCAGTAAGTGTTGTCCTTGTCCCCTCCACACCCCTGCAAGGTCCTATTTGTCCCCTGTCCCATGTCACCCTCCCACCTGCAGTGTCACCTACCTCTGGTCCCCTCCCCAAGGGGAAAACTTGGGTTTAAACCCCACCAAAAGCCCCATGGTGAGCAGGACCCTGGCTGTGTCCCCTCCTGTCCCTTGCCACCCAGGAGTGGGACCACCACATCCCATATTTTGGCCATCTCATGAGAAAACCCTCATGCTGGGAGATACAGGAGCGTGGGGGGGCATGGTAAGGACAGTGGCAGTGCAGGGGGGGCTCACCCCAGCTCACGGTTGTCCCCCCCAACCCCATCCTACCCCACCC